ATTGATAGGCGCTATCGCCGACTGCTTTGGCGACGCTAATGGTCAGCTAAAGTCAGCGTTCCCGGTTGTGTCGGGGACAGCTACGCAGTGCAAGGATTGCACTGAACATGCTGTAGCGACTGAGTAGCGATTCTATGGAAACCATGCTCTAGAGTAGGCCTACTATGTCAACGGTGTACTGTTGCGGTGAATCATACGATTTAAAAAGTTCGTTGAGTATACTTCATGCGTCATCTCAAGGGGAAATGTTGAAATCTGGTGTTCAGTTTGAGAAAATTCGTAGGCTAACTGACGTCATTAGTGGTAGCAAGCAAAGGACTGGCAGGCTGAATTCATTTTTCTGAGGTAGACCAAGGCATGTTCTTCTGTTATTCGACTGGTTCATTTCGTTGACTAAGATTTTTCGTTGAGTATTATTTTCAATCGACTGGATCGTAAAATAGACTTCGTTGACAACGAAAATTAACGTAACCAAAATGCGTTAATCAGCGTTAGGTTATGCACGTGACCAAAAAATATGGTCAGTTTAGCAACAACATTTGCGTTAGTATAATTTAGATTAAATTTCAGAAAATAAAAATTATAATATTTACCCACAATGAAGTCAAAAAATAATTGTATGGTAACAGAATTCAAAAACTGGATGAAAACATTTTTTTTACGAAAAACCAATACACAGCCACATTTCGAAGCAGCCTTTATTACGCAGCGTACTAACTATGCAGCCATTTTGTTTTGTCGAGTATTTACCAGTTTTCTATTCGACTGGTCGTCTTCGTTAAGTAGGATTTTACCACTGCGCAGGTGGGCGTGGTTTAACAAAGAACGACCAGTCGAATACGGCCAAACTTTACACAAACTAAACACAAATTAAACCCTCCTGCATGTTTATATTTATAGACAAGAGGTTGAACATATAAATAATATCATTATATCCTTACATGTTTAATTCCCAGTCTACATTGACGCCGGTTGCTACAATGCGGGGGTGGTGGTAACTGCCGATTCAATGCCATGTTGATGGCATTGTTATTGAAAACATTTCTCTGAACTTCGACTATATACATCTATCGAGATGGTGGAGCAATTGCAATGTTATGACAAGGTAGCAACAAACCGAGTGTTGAAATTCACCGGATTACAGGAGTAGTGCACCCGATTATCATGTGTATTCATCATCTCGGACACTGCATGCTGCAACTGTCATTGATAGCCCTGTCAGGAAAAAATGTTGTCCGTGAAAAAAATCGGTTCGCCGGACCGATTTTGACTTCAAAATCACCTGCCAAATCGAGAGTGAATATTAATGCAGTGTACAACTGGTGATCCGGACAGAATTTGCCAGTGGTTCATGTGAGGAGTCGTAAATTCAGAAATAAGTAAAGGTCTAACATGGAATGTTGCTCTTGCACTAGATCTCCTCCTCCTCCTCCTGGGCTTTGTCATCCATTGTCGAATGTAGCCCTCCTCAATGTCATCCATTGGTTTCTATTCTGTGCTTTTTTTGCCCAAATTACACCAGTGTAAGAAAGGTCAATTCGATCTATACCTCACTACGCCACAAAACGCCAACGAAATATTTAAAAAAATAGAACAATACGTATTGAATACATCACTTACCAAATGGGATAAATAGATTCACTACAGTAGTTCCTTATATTGACTACACAAAATGATAGCCAACGTAATTATATAAATCTTTACAATATTATTTTTATTTCTATATCTATTTTCCGAGATGCAGATTGCTTAAGAACCCAAATTGTCTTAAAAAATTAAAGAAGGCAGCCCTGATACGTACAGCATTTTTGAGAAAGGAAGCAAAAGGGTTGAGAAACTATTGGTGTCATCCGACGGATGATCCAATGGCATCGAAAGTATAGCCAAATCTTCAACTCGCTGGTGAGGCAGCGTTAGATCCAAAAACATCATGTGTCCAGCTATCTTAAGCAAGAAGGGGATGAGTGTTACCAGTGCTGACCGTATTCATCCTGGCGACATAGCTCTACCAGAACATGTTTAGAACTTTTTAAAAAAAATGTAATTTTTGATTGCTTAACTTTGATATGGAAAGGTTTATTTGAAATTATTGTTGCCATCGAGTTAAAGTACCTGTCTGTATTTTTTACTTTATTTGCCAGTCCAAACAATTTGCTTTAGAGCAGCCGGATGGAGGTGCCATGAGCATGGTTGAAGATCTAGTTGGCAGTTAATATCAGCAACCGATGTCTATGGCCAAAGAATGCCAATAAAAAATCAACTAACAAGCAAATTGACCCGCCGAGCCAATTTAGAATTCACTGTAAGATTTTAAGTCATCATCCCATACAATATAATTATAGGTATATCATAAGACCATTTTTTTTTTTATATCTCTAACCACACTAATCACAACTTTGTTTATTTTTCCTTCGTACTACTAGACACAGAGTCTTTATTCATCTTTCGCATATCTGATTGCTTCCATTCAGGTTGTCAAGAAACCATTCAAGGAACATGGTGAGCTTGTAATGGAAAAAGGGGTGGTTACGCCCTTTATAT